CTGATAATACTCTTGAATGAATTAACTGTATATCTCGCCATGTGAGCAAAGGTATCATGCTTGACATAAATGTTGCTAGAAAAAAGTAACAAATTTGCACTGTGACCTAAAGATAGCAAACCTTGAGGCCCAGTTTACACAATTTATTTGCATAAAAGACATCTGTATTTATCTCTAGGTGCACCTAACATGAGTGGCTGTATAATAATTTGAAGCAGAACAAAAATTCCACATCTGAATGCCTGAGAAATTAAGAAAGAAAGGACGTAGAGACTTAAATCAACTTTCAGATGCATTGCTGTGACATAAAGCAGGACTTCGTTGCAGATAAATCCTAAAATGAGGCTTGATTAAAACTTGACTAAAACAAAACAAGAAAAGGAGTGAAAATTCCTTACTTTTCAAGCAAGATGAATTGTCGCGTGATTTTTCCAGGGGCCAGTACATTTGATAGCCTTGATGCAGAAATATTTCGAGACAAAGAAATGCAGTGACGTGTATGATGTTACTGCCTCAACCAGAGGAGGAAGGCTGAAGAAAAACAAACATGGCTGCGCCCGTTTTATTGGGAAAACACTCTATTTGTTTTAGAAAAACAAGCATTTAAGAACACAATATTAGCCTTTGTGGATAGAAAGTGTGATTTATCAGATAACTCCACTTGCGTTCAAGCTGCTACTGCTGCTGTGATTGGCTAAAAACTAAAAACATGCAAGGCACATACCAATCAGCTCGAAGAATTGTACTAAATGTCCCTCCTTTTTGCAAACACTTTCTACATGGGGCTTTCCAGATCGGTACGTGTAGTTCAATCGGAATTCTACACAGTATAAATTTTGCTTTTGCCAGGTAAGAAAATTTAAATTTAAGAGACTTGGAGCCGCTATACTAAAAGCTTGATTGCAGCTGTTGCTCATAAAGAGAGCCAGAACTGGTTATCATATTGAGAGAACAATTACTTCTTCACATGTAGGTCCGTCATTTTTTCCCCTTAAAAAAATAAGCACTTATTTATAAACTGCTTTTGTGATAAAGTCAGGCTATCATTATCTGGTCTAAAAAAAAAGAAATACGAAAAAGGAAGGGTTATTTATAGACTACTGCATATGATAAAGCCACAATTAATGCATAAAAAGCTGTTAAGACAAGCCTAGAAATGGGAGGACAGAATATTTTGCAACCAAACAGGGGTGGGAGGGTACTATTGTCAGCTTGATACATTCCTTGTTACTCTAAAAATGAGCATAGCCTAAATGAATTACTATTTATAAAGTTTGAAAACTAAATAAAAATGCCTTGCTTGTCACAATTTTTATTTTCACTTTTTTCCACTGTTTATTATTTCATTAAAGCATTAATAAATAAAATATAAAAGGTATTTAATGCAGCTACTTTTTGGAGTTTAGGAATAGAAAAATCACAGTATATTTAACTGGTGTGCTGAAGAAGTTTGTTTTTTTCAAAAGCAGCATTTTGAATTGTGTGGGCTTTAAACACTGTGCCATGCCATCACCACCGTAAAGTTACCTAAAAACGATTGCAAAGAAGTAATACATAGTTGTTTTAATAATTAGTTTTATCATTATCATCATATTGCCACAAAAAAAAAAAAAAACATTATCAAACTACAAGTCCATAATACCTTATCCCTAATCAAAGCTGTGCTTTGCAATCAGAAATGATTCCAAAACCACTTATGTTTTCAGCTGAGAACTATGGTTGCCAAAGGGAAGCGCTAAAGTTACCAGCAGATGGCGGTGCAATGCCACAGATGTACTTTCTACCTCAGGTCCAAAGTGTCCCATAGGTCTGCTATTAGTTTACAGAATAATGTGACTGAGAAGCAGAAGTAGCACTGGTGGAAGAACGAAATCCAAAATCATAAATATGATCTCAGCATATTTACAATTCTATTTCTAACTTATAGGGTAATGAGGCACATGTGCTATTAATGACAAAGTAATCTATTTACATCTAGTCACTCTCATAAAGACCATGGCTTACCCACAGCATGTTTCCCCAGATATTTAGAATCACATAGCAACTGAACCACCACTGGCACAACAAACAAGCTGAGACTCATTGGTCTTATCTGCTTGTACTTTCATTCTGGGCAACATCCAATCTAAATGTCTCTGTTCCCTGACCATCCTCCATAATTCCCTCCACTAAATCTATGAGTACAAATTTGCACTGTAACTAAAATAGCTCTGGGGCAGAAACAGTGCAAAAGTAACACGGGTAATCCATCTTTTCAATATAACATTAAGTGGCCTGTTTGTGCAAGCGTTGCTGTCTGTCCCCTCTCCATCACGCCATTCCTGTCTAACTATGTCCGCCCTCCATCAATCAGCTTGGCAGAGCTCTTTGTTACTCAATAAGGACATTTTCTAACCATGGTCTAATTGCTACTAATAAAACAGCAGTCCTCCTCGGACGTTTATCCCTCTGTGCTCTGTGGCAAGTAAGTGTGTGGAAAATATTTATGTTGAACATACTTTCCTGCTCCATCAAAGTCCCTTCACTTTTTATGTAAGCAGGAGCACATCTAGTTTGTATGTTCTTCATGCTTAGCAACTGCTACATTGGAGGAAGTTGGAGACTTCATTAACACTGACATGGAAAAAGGTCAAATCCAACGCAGGCGGAGAGCAAAGTAATGGATTAGTATCACTCAACATCTGAAAACAAACTGAGACAGTTAGGCAGTAAATTGTTTCTGTAGAGTAAAAACAGCTTACTCTTTAGGTGCCAGAGCGACTGGAGCTGTCCACTATTACCGACTACAGTATATATTTCAGTGCAAATGTATTACATTTAAGCATATACTCTATCTCATTAAAAAAAATATATTTAATAATTAATTTCAGTACACTATTTAGTAAAAATAGTTTTAACAAAATCACAAATGGCATAAATATTGATAGGCTATCCCTTTTAATCACATGTATACATAAATGTAAGAAGCATTTCTTGAATGTGCTTCACTTTACTTTTTACACGTTGGTTAGAGTTAAAATGATTCTAGGGTTTATATCTGCCTGTTAGTCTTGGGTTGATTATTATTATGGGTCTTAAGACAGCAGTAAGATTAAGATTACTGTATACAGCACAATATACAGCTATTGCTGGAAAATACTGTGTTGCTTAAAAGAACTAAAAAGGAACACACTGGATTTTTGTTCAAAATTAAATAAAGCAAATCCAGTTATTAGTCAATTGCATTACAGGACTTAACTGAATTACCTGGGGTTAGATGCATGTTTCTCTCAGGAAGTCTCTCTCTTTTATCAACACCAAGGTCAAAATTATTTGTAAAGCAGCCCTGTTTGGCTGGAAAACTTTAAAAATCATTCGTTTATATCGTTATAATCTTCATTCTGTATGTTGCAAAGATTTGGAAATGGAATGAGAGCGGTGCCCTTCAGCTAAGAAGGAAGTGTAATATTTTGATAAGGCTGGAGCCATGGATGTCTCATCATCTGCTAACATGTGTGATGTAAAATAAGATGATGTGGCAGACTGGAGATGTATAAAATGCTTCTTTAACTGTTTTAATCAGGGCCACTTCCTGAGAGATGAGCCCAGAGGTGAGCAGCTGCCTTCTGTACATTCTAAGCAATTTATCTGATCTAAATAAGATTACAATTTTTATCAGAATCTGTTGTCATGTCTCCTTGTTATTTAATACATATAAGTGACGAAGTGTTATTTAAAGAGTTTGTCCCGAGTGATCTCTTTTCAGGGAAAAGAACCGGACAGATAGAGCATTAAGGGGCATACACAGAGCCTATCTTTAACGGAAAGATTAAAACGGCTTTTCCTTGTACTCCATGTGTGATTGCAAACCAATCAGTTTACTATCACTTTTATAATTCAATAAAAAGTTTGAACGAAGATAAGAACCAATTTTGATAAATGTATCTGTGAAGATTCTCAGTCATCTATGTCCTGGTCAAGCTTTACGAAATGTCATTTAAATGAAATTAAAATTTGTATTTTTTTTATATTATAGAAATACATTATATATATTAAATTTGTTTTTTGCTGGGAGGTCTTTATAAAGGATGCAATTTGAAAGCTCTTTAAAAAGAGCTTTCTGTTTTGTTTGCTTTTTTTTAAAATGGAAAACGGAAGAGGATTATTTTTATTTTTAAATAATATTTCAGTTTAATATGGGGGAAAAAAATCTAAATTCTTTAAACTTTAACCTCAGAATTCTGACTTTAATCACAGAATTTTGGATCTTAATGTACATGGGCACAACTTTTTACGTGCCGAGGGGTCCCGAGTGATGCTATTTCATTAATGGAAGAGTAGAAGGTTATTAAAATAAGAGAGCTGGTTTAGTCTCTAAAACAGACATGGCTACAGCTTGAAGCTAACATGTTTGTTAGCTGTCAGAATTCAGTCAGAATTCTAAGATTAAAGTCAGAATTCTTAGATTTAAGTCTGAATTCTCAGAGAATAATCAGAATTCTGAGATTAAAGGCAGAATTCTGAGATTAAAATCAGAATTCTGAGCAAAAAGTCAGAATTTTGAGTTTAAAGTCAGAATTCTGGGGAAAAAAGTCTGCATTCTGAGATTTAAGTCAGAATTCAGAGAAAAAAAGTCCGAATTATGAGATTTAAGTCAGAATTATGAGATTAAAAGTCAGAATTCTGAGAAAAAAAGTCAGAATTCTGACATTTAAGTCAGAATTGTAAGAAAAAAGTCAGAATTCTGAGATTTAAGTCAGAACTCTGAGATTAAAGTCAGAATTGTAAGAAAAAAGTCAGAAATGTGAGATTACAGTCAGAATTCTCAATTTGTTCGCAAATTATACTGAAATAAATTTAAAAAACTGTTAACTTTTAAGTTTTTTCAGTTGCCTTAATCCTCTTCCGTAGGTTGGCCAACCAACAACGAGGTCTGAGTAGTTTTAACCCCCCTCAGGCAGCCTTGTATTAAAAGGGGCGGTCTGGAAAGATTAGAGAGAGAGAGAGAGAGGGTGAGAGAGTGGGTGAGAGAGAAGGGGGGAGAGAGAGAGATCCTTGCTTTCGTTTGGTCCGTTAGCTTATTGTCACCGTTTGTTCCACAGTGTGAGCTTTCTGCACCGATAAATACCAACATCCAGCCGACATGGGGAAAGTAGAGGGCGGAATGAAATGCGTGAAGTACCTTTTGTTCATCTTCAACTTTATATTCTGGGTGAGTGTTTGTCGCATGTTTGCTGGGCTGTAGGATGAAAGAGATGCAAGTTGAGCAAGTGCAACAGTGTGGCAATAGAATCGAGTCACCTTAAGCATCAGATTAGAGTTTCAGAAGATGCTTTAACCAACGCTTGTTGCAGTTTCACTGAGCTGCGCAGAAACGGTGACAGTCTGAGTTTTTTTAGTTTTGGCTCACCGGGCATAAATCAGATTTTCCACAGAGGAAAAGAAAAACCCGCCCTCCTTTTCCCCGGGAAGTGTGTTTCTGAAAGGGAGGCTGAATGAAAAGCCAGAGGGAGAGACTGAAACAGGGCATGGAAAACAAACTGCTGCGCTTCCTCCGCGCCACGTCGCTTCAGCAACAAACTGATAAAGTGGCGATGCAAACGCAACACTTCCTCTTTTAAATGGAAGCAGCTCGAGGTGGAGCGCACTTTTACTTATTTCATCAAAAACAGGTGCTTTCATAAACACTGAGCCATTGCTGTTCTCTCCACATAATTCAATTTCCTCCCGTTAAATATATTGCTAAATAATAAAACATCATGTATGCATATAAGCAGGGCCGTAACCAAGATTTTTGAAGTACTGAGCTCAAATATTGTGATAAATCTTATTTGACAAAAAAAAAAAAAAAAAACATCCTAATATGGTGACTTTTTAAAATATATTTTTGGAAACGTGAATAGAGAGGTAAATCACAAAATTAGATTATTTGATTTGCTATTTGATTTATCATAATTTTTATTATTACTATCATTATTATTATTGTTGTTATTGTTATTATTGAATTATTATTACTACTATTATTATTGTCACCATCATCAACATGCATATGCATGGCCCACTAAATTAATCAAATGAGTTGCAATAATATATTGTGGACTTTATTATTATAAAAGTGAAAATGCATGCTGATCTTTACACCAACCTAAAATAAATTAAAAAATTTAAAAAAAGTTTTCGAGGACATGACCTCGGTATTCTCAATGCTGGTTACTGGGCTGCATATAAGCCCTTATTTGTTTATTGCTGCCCCTGGTAGATTAATAACTACAATATTCTTTTCCTTTATCCAACATTTTTCCTCTTACTATAGATAGTATTACAATTTCTGATTGGCCCAATAGAGAATGTCATAAGAACCTGTGGAAGGAGCTAAAATAGGGGAAATACACAGTAGGCTTTTTATTCTGATCTACATTAAGATCAAAACCAAAGATCCCAGTAAAGAACATTAAAGCATTTTTTTTTTCACTGGACATTGAGGAAAAAAATTATGACAATATAAATAAAATAAAAAAATTCATGCATGTTTATATGTCGGTGTGGGTTACATCTGTTACCATTCAACTGGTCCCAATAAATAAAAGTTCCCTTCTTAAGGAGTTTAATTTATGTGAAGCACTTTGAAGCACTTTGAATTGTCTATTCAAATTGGCTGAGACAATTAATCGGATAAATCGTGATTAAACGATTACTGAAATAAAGGTACACAAATTTAGTAATTAATCAATTGATAAATGGAGTGTAGAGACTGTAAAATATGCTTTTAGCTGTCAGATCAACCCACTTAGACTAGTTATTGTACCAAAATAGTTAAAAAAAAAAAAAAAAAATATATATATATATATATATATATATATATAAAACCGTTCGTTCGATTCGTGTGTGCTGCGTTCGGTTCATGCGCTGCTCCTTTTTCTCATAGGCGAAGCGTGTACACTCCAGAGCAGAAGGTGGCGGTACTGCGACCAAAGCCAACCACCAGTAGTAAACAAGAAGAAGCGAAGCAGCGTAGCCGGGTGTAGCAGAAAAAAATCGGTTGTCGTTGAGAATTCTGTGGGTATGGCGAGTGGGAAAGAACAGGAGTTGGAAGACGCGCCCGCAGCACTTTATAGGTCTGCTGTATGGGACCACTTTGCATTTAGAGTGACCTACGATGACGACGGAAAGAAAGTTGTGGATAAAAGTGCAACAGTGTGCAAGCATTGTGCAACACGTTTGGTTTATGCTAACAGCAACATGACCAACATGTCATGCTAACCCCGAAATCCCACATACTCCGTCAGCACTCTGCTCCGCCCCGCTGCGCTCCAGACCGCCTGCGCAAAGCAAAGCCTACATCCTCCGCTCTGACTCCCATCCGCTCCGCTCTGAGTTCCTTGGAGATCGTAGAGGGCATGCGCAAGATGATTAAATTCAAAGCAGCAAAACATGCGGAAATGATCCAGGGTTTCCGCGGATCATTAAAAATAATTACAATTAAAAACGTTTTTTGGATTTTTTCATTAATTTCATTAATTTTTATGGGATTTCGGTGTAACAATTAACATATACCGAACCAAAAAACCGTGACCACGAAACCGTGAACCGAACCGAACCGTGGATTTTGTGAACCGTTCCACCTCTAATATATATATATATATATATATATATATAAACATTTTGCGTTTAAGATAAGATAAAATGTTTTTGCCAGTCAATATGCTCACTAGAACCCCTCAAACGGAAAAGTTTTAGTTTCATCTGCTTTAATTTCGAAAAATGTCTTCTTTAAGGAACCTTTGGCTATCCAAGTATTTAATTAACTTAATTAATTTAAAAAATAATCAACAGTTAAATCGATTTGCAAAATAATCGTTAGTTGCTGCCCTAGAATTGTACTTGTACTGAATTGTGCTACACAAATAAACTTGCCTTCTTAGGTTAGGGTTTAAGTTTAGGACTAACGTGTAAATTCAGTTCAGGTTATATTTAGGGTTAGGTACATATTGGTAATGATTAGGGTTCGGTTATAGAAAACAATATGAAATGCATGAAAGTCAATGGAAGGTCCCGGTAAGGATAGTGTGACATAACCTGAGTGTATTGTGTTTGTGTGTGAGAGGGAGGCTCTCTAACATGCATCTGCAGAGTGGATAAGGGGCTGAGTGCACACTCAACATCAATCCATTGTGACCAAAGGACAATAGCACAATTTCTATGTATTGCCTCAGCTCTGCTTAACAGCAGCAGCACCTGTCAGATCCATGAATGCAGCGGACTCGCTGTGTCCCAGCGGTCATTCTGCCTCTTACATCTCCACACAGAGCTATCTTTGGTTTATCATACGTAAGTGTGGATACAGGCAACATTCTGGGAGAGATAGATCTACAACTGTGAGACTGAAAAGGGGTGGGATTTTAAGCAATACAAAAATCAAGAGGATGAGGACAGTGAAGTATAGTGGCAGAAAAAAGAGGGTCAATAGGAGATTGAGAGAGATATTTAAGCACATGTTTGCACGCTCACTGGGAAAACAGGGACAGTTGGCTGGAATTTGACCCAGATACAGATAAAACAGATCAGTATGATAACAGAGTCACATTCCAGAGAGGCTTGCAGTTTTTTTACTTTTAATATTCCCAGCGGTTTAATATTGACGTACTTGGCTTTCTTTTGTAATATTTTTAGTGCAATATTCCGCCAAATGAATACAGCATACTTGCCATGTTTAGATTTCCCAAAATTAGGACTATGTATCACTATGTTGTCAATCATATCTTCTCCTTGGTATCAGGAGCCTTAACCATAGGCTTAATTAAGCACAAATTATATTTAACTTCCTTAATTATGGCAAACCACCAAAACATAAGGAGCATTTATCAGTTTTTCTAGAAAAGTAGAAATAGACTGACCTATTGTGACATTGCAGTAGCACGTGTTCACCTTCCTGCAATCAGTCAAGGTGAGTCTGACTTGGGACACACCTTGAAGTGTCGGTTTGTTGGTTCATTTGGGCCATCAGCACTTTTTTTTATTTTTTTTATTGTGGTACTGCCAGACAGTTTCCGGCCCTTGCTTGGACAGTTGCTGCTTTTTCTACCTGTTCAAAAAAGTAAACGAACAACAGAAAATATACGGCATACTGTACCACCTCCAACCCATTTTTGTATACCTTCATCAACAGAACAATAGATTATATTTTAGTCTCTACCCCTTTCAAGCTAACTACAGATTATGGCACAGGCAGTCTAAGTTGGTACTAGATGTTAACAGCAATACAGTTATGGGCTCCATAACATGTTACAGAAAATAAAAACAAATGTTTTTAATGATATCTTTTAAGGACCCCATTGCACAGCAATATGGGAACCAGCATATTCCTTTAGTGGAAAGACTTTAGATAAAGATAAAAGGAAAAAAATGGCAATAGGTCTATAATGAAAAACTGCAACAAGCGCAAATAATTTATTCAGCCTCTTCTTGTATCTTGTGCTTAAGTCCTTCGGCTACATTTTATCATTTCACAACCATCTGTATATGATCACAAGATCATTCCCATTTAGAGGCAGAGATGATAAGATGTTGTTTTATGTGATTTAAACTGGATGTAAAATTGCAATTTTGCTTAAACTACCTTGTGAGACCATAAATGCAGAGTAGAATCTGATGACTTTGAAAGCTGTTGCCACATAGCAACCCAAACCGTTAACAAAACAAATTAAAGGTGAAGGTCAACATAGCGTGTTGGTTACTGATTATTTTCACTTTATTATGACCTTTTAGAATAGCGCTCGCTTTGTCGCACTGTTTTTGTGAGATTGTGATAGAGGCTGGTGATAAAAACTGTTAAAGGAAAACAGACCACTTGTTTTGAATCAGTATTTTCTCTTTTGCAATGACAGCACGTCTTTTATTGATTTTTTTAGTCAAAGATTAAACCTGGGTAGGAAACGGTTCAAGGACACTTTATTCGGTGCATTTTGTTCAAAAGCTGTAGAAGTAGCTGTCTGATGAATAACTACTGTTGAATTACTTGTTTAACAGACTCTAATGTTTAAGATTTCTGTCTTTAATATGCCAATTAGGATTACATGTACAGAATCAGGTTGCTCTTTAAGTCTGTTTGTGAATCTCATAAAGTTCAGTGAAACAAAATTGTTTTTACATCTGGTTTAATTTTTCTGGTTTTGTTTTAATTCAACACTGCCATGTCTTTGTGTTGTTTTTTCA